CAGGGTTCCTGCAGGCTGATCCCCACCCTCTGTGTGGGTTGCAATGTGGCCCCTCCCTTGGTTCAAGTCTTAGTGCTGGGGGTTGTGGGTGGGGAGGCAGTAGAACGTGATGGGGTAGCCCTGGACCAAGGGGCATGGGCTCCAGGCTTGGGAGTCAACACCACCCAAACTGTCCCTCACCAGCCCAGTCCTGGGAAACCCTCTGCAGGAGATGTGGTCAGAAAGCAAAGAAAGCGGCCACAGGCAGCGGAAACCAGAAAGGGAAGTAACCCTGCCCAAAGTGGCCATGCATTTTGGGGATTTCCCTGCTCCCTTCCTCCATCACCCCTAGGAAGGCATGCCCTTTCCCCACTCACTTGCCTCTTGCCTATGGCCTAGGGATCCTTTTCCCTCCTCTCTGACTGTGCAATCCATCTTCCTGTCCCTTCCCTGCCCCCTCCCCGTCTCTCCCTAACTTCATCTCCACCTCCAGGCTCCTTATATTATTAGTCGGGATTCTCTAGAGTAACAGAACTTACAGAATGAATGTCTCTCTCTATATAATGGGATGACTTGCAGGCTCCAGTCCAGCTAATCCAAAAAATGGCTGGCTGTGAATGCAAAGTCCTAGCATCCAGTACTCACTCAGGCTGGGCGTGTCCTCTGGCCTTCAGTGTAATGCCAGAATCCTAAAGAAGTAGGCTCTAATGCCAGTGAAGGGAAGTTGTACTGGCAAAGTGAGGGTGAGCAGGCAAAGAGGCAGAGCTGCCTTCTTCTATGCCCTTATGTAAACTTCAGCGATAAGGTAGGTCCCAGATTAAAGACGTGTCTTCTTGCTTCAAGATCTGAATTAACGGCACGAGTCTCCCTGCATCAGAGGTCCTGATGAGAAGAGACTCCCCCAGCCAAAACCACTCCCCCAGCAAAACATCTCTCACAGGTGTGCCCTCCATTTCTGGATTGTAGTTCATTCCAGATATAGTCAAGTGGACAACGCATAGCTTCACACCCCTCTAGTCTTTTCTTTTGTATGCCTTAAGAAAACCTAGCAGCTTTGGTCTCCTGAAATCCAGACAAGATGTCTCAGAAAGGGGCCTCCTCTCAGAAAGGAGCCTCTGAGCTTAGACACCTATCCTCTAGATCAGACAGACTGAGTTGGTTACTTTCACCTTAGTTACTTTGAGTGTCTTAGTTACTTAGTTACATTTGGCGAGACCTAACCGCTATCAGCAATGCATCTTAACAAACAAAGAAGCTAATTAGGCTCCTTCTTTCAGAGGGCTAGAGTCCATAATGGCAGAGCACAGCATGGCAGCAGAAACAGCAGAGATCATATCTTGATCCTTGAGTAGGAGGCTGAGAATGGGGAAGTCTTTCGAAATCTCAAAGCCCACCTCCAGGGACACAGCTCCTCCAGCAAGGCCACACCTCCTAATCCTTCCTAAGTAGTTCCTCCAACTTGGGACTCAGTATTCTAATCTCTGTGGCTATGGGGTCCAATTTCATTCAAACACACAGAGGTGGGCGGACCTGGGGGTTGGATGCTAAACAGCATTCTTTCATCTCTTAAGAGGAGTGTCCTCTGGATTCCAAGGGAAGTCACATGGACAGCAAGAGCTTTGCCCATCCCAGCGGATGGTACCACTAATAGTGGAAGGAGATTAGAGACGTTCAAGCCTCTGGAAGTAACCATTGGGGCATTTAGCTGATCATAACAAAACGAAGTTGGTTTGTGGTACTTACATGTTCTTAAACATGAAACCTGAAAAGGATTAAAAAAAAAAACCAATTAACACCATCACAAAACAAAATTCCATCGTCCATCATTGAGATTCTCACTTCTCCCGGGTGATTTGGGAATCTGGTGTTTTAAGCCACCCAAAGAGTCGATTAAGTCACCAGCTTAAGCCCATGCAAAAGCCTAACTAGGTCTGTAAGACTCTAAGTGAAGGGGCCTTCTGCTGGGTGTCAGCAGACAGGATCAGCGAGTAGCAGATACCTCTCTCCCACAGGTTAGGCCTCATCCATCTTCATGTCCTGCTGCTTACTGCCAGGTCCTATGCTGGTGGGGATGGTATGGTGGTGTGTCTCAGGCTCCTGTGGTTTGTAACTGTGACTCTCACAGAGGTTACAGGATCAGAGCTTCATCCTCATAATTCCAAATCAGCTCCTAAAGCTAAACCATTTTCCTTCTATGTAACGCCCTCCAGCTGCTGGTGATGGGAGAGATGAGGACTGGTGTTTTTATATTTGGGCCATGTTATCCACATGACCCTTGTTCATGTATTCGTCTGAATGGAAAGTGGTCTCCTCGCTGCCCGTGACACCCCTATGAAAGATGTTCCTGAGATTTGGACCCATGAAAAGCGACTTGGCTTGCAATTCCCTCTGGTGGTCCTTACCCATTGAAAGGCTGAGCAAAAGGATCTTTCTGACATTGCTCTGGGTGAAAACCAAACCCATCAACATGCAGAGCAGAGAGCTTGTCTTCCACCATAGTCCGCCTTGGTTCCCAGTGTCCCTCTCTCTTGTCTTCAATATTCTCCCCTCAAAAGGACTGCCCAGGCTTCAGAGTAGGACATTAGAGACATCGCAGAGGGATGCTTTTGGAGCATGAACAAAAGAAGCTTCTGGTCTAGCTGATGTCATTCTTGCCGGCAGCCTGAAGGGACTGTGCAGAGCACAGGTGTTTGTCGTCAGTGGTGGCCTGCCATCTCTGCTGGCCTTTGGGTTGACTTCCCCTTTTGTGTCTGAGGTTACACAGTTGACACTTTTCCTGACCCTTCCCTTTTCTTTCAAGCTCTGAATTCTGGGTTTCTTAGACTCTGCTCTTACTCAGCTCTTTAGGAGTCTGATTTCACCCAAAGCTCTTGGTTGAGGACATGTCCAGCGGAACTGAGTGCCAGATGGCGTGGGTCCAAGGTTGAAGTATACACAGCACATCCCAGTGCTCAGGAGTGTCAAGTTCTTAGAGACCCTGCTGGTTCTCCTAACACACGCTGATGTCATCTAGCCTATGAGGACAGGTTGAAGCTCCAGGTAGCCACCTAGAGACACTCAGATTGCTATCTTCCAAGCACCTTGCCTGCCACTCAGAGACAGTAAAGTTTAGGTCTCATGAAACCTCTAGTATGACAGCAAACTTCCTTTCTGTGGGCAGCTGTTATTGTTTTGACTGGTTGGCTCTTTGGGGGATCCACCACCCAGCTCCCAAATAAATTACATGGAAACTTACTTTTAATTATGAAAACCCAGCCTCAGCCTGGCTTATTTCTAGCCAGCTTTTCTTAACATAAATTATTGTCTCTACCTTTTGCCTCTGGGCTTTATCTTTCTCTATTTCTATAGACCTTCCTTTACTTCTTACTCCATGGATCGCTGTGTAGTTTGGGGTCTGGCCCCTTTTCTTTCCCATTTTTCTTGTTGCTTGATCTTTTCTTCCCAGATTTCTCCTATTTATCCTCTCTGCCTGACAGCCCTGCCTAGCCTCTCTCCTGCCTCACCACAGGCCATGCACCTCTTTATTAGACCAATCAGATGTTTTAGACAGGAAAAGAAACACACCTTCCCAGAGCAAAACAAGTGCAACATTTTTACATCATTAAACAATGGCTTCATAGCATAAATGAATGTAACACAGCCAAAAATGAACATTATACCACAGGCAGCCAAGTCATGTGTCATCGCCAAGAAGCATTCATGTTAGGAGCATTAGGCATGTTCTCTCTCTCTCTCTCTCTCTCTCTCTCTCTGATACTTCCCATATCATCCAGCCATAGAGATAGGATAGAAAGACTTGTCTGAGTCAGGACTGTGTTGGTTTGAATAGGTCTGGCCCTATTCAAACACAGACTCATGTGTTTGAAAGGTTGGCCCATAGGAAGTTGCACTATTGTTGGAGAAGGTGTGGCCATATTCTGAAGGTCTTTGAAAGGTTTGAAGACTCTATATATCTCTGTATATCTAGAAAACCTAACTAACATAAGTTTTTACTATTAGAGATGACTATATATCATCTGCATTTAATTATACATTACATTTTAAAATGAGATATATAAACACAATACCTAAACAAGGAGAAATATATAACAAAATTGACCTTAAATTTGTATCAGTAAATGAAAATTCATACCAATGCAAAGTATTCATTTCTATATCATTTCCTCCTTCTTTCTTCAGAAGGAGATTGACTGTGATCATTAACCATTTATAATCAAACACACTTAAATGAAAACAAACATTTATAAACAATATTTGGGAATGTGGGCATCATTCTTTCCAAACTCCTTCATGCTGTTTGGGGGCACTGTAAACCAAGGGGACCATCAGAAAACACAGAAACCTGTCCAAACCCTGACTGTAGTAATCTGCAAGGCTGCATCTTCTCAGCTGTTTGAATGTTCTATGGGCCTCTGCCTCAGGGAGTCTTGCATATTCAAACCATATAAGTCTGGAAAAAATTCACAGCTTTTCATTTTTGGAGAATGTGAGACCTACAACTCCTTTGCCTGTTACATGACTGCTCAGAATCTCCGCAGAGAAGTGAGCCCTTTCCTGTTTGTCTCTGCTTATATCTGCACAGCTACATCACTGTCTTTCTGGCCAATCAGCTAATCGGTGGATTATTCATTAATCAGTAAGAGAAACATATACCAAGAAGAACATTCCTCATCACTCTGCCATCAACCACTAATTAAGAAAATGCCCAGCATCTTGATGACATAGAGACATTTTCTCGGTGGAGATTCCCTCCTTTCAGATAACACTAGCTTGTGTCAAGTTGACATAAACTTCCAGCACAGATATACTTTTGAAATGTCCCCACCCTCTTGGGCCTAATTGTTTTTGGTGTGTCTATGAGTGATGTCTTTTACTTTTGGGAATAGGCATTTATCTGGCTTTGTCTTATGGGTGGTGCTGGACTGAAGGCATGTCTATGTGTACAGGAGATGCCCAGGCATCAACTTGTTGCTTGTAAAATGGAGCCACCTTGGGGAAGACCCAGCCTGAAGGCCGTCATTTTATACAAGGAGCAGGGAACGGCCGATCTCCTCATGGCCATAGTCTAAGAATGTGAAAGGGAACAGGAATAAAGATGGAGTCACTGTTGACAATGGCCTGTCATATCTTCATGGAGTGGTAGAGGTGGCATGGTCACAGGCAACTGAAATATTCCACAGCATGTTTGTTCAGAGGTGAAATGGCAGATTCCCAACACCATCAGCCGTTTTCAGTCCTGGCTGTGATGGAGAAGAGAGGGTGGCAGAGGCAGCTGTGGACAATGATGGTAGATCAGACTGCACTTGAGGAAGCTGAGGAGGATTGTGGAGAAGAACCTGGTGAAGAGAAGGGGGTGTCAATTACAGTGGGCACTCGGACATCTGCAGCCTACGCCACTTCCTTTCGGATGGGCGGCCTCACACTTCACAGCCTGTGCAGCTCAGCTTCCCAATGCTGCTGCTGCTAGTGTGTGCGTGTGAGTTTGTGTGTGTGTGGTGTACCTGTGAGTGAGTATGTGTGTGTGTGTGTGCCTGTGTGCATGTATGTATGTGTGTGCATGTGTGTATGTGTGTCTGTATGTGTGTATGCATGTGCATGTGTTTGTGTGCATGAGTGTGGGTGTGTGTATGTGTGTGCGTGTGTATATGAGTGTGTGTATGCCTCTGTATGTGTGTGTGCTTGTGTGTGTATGTGTGTGTGTATGTGTGTGTGTATGCAGGTCTATATGTGTGTGTGTGTGCGTGTGTGTGTGCATTTCCTTCAAACCTTTTTGTCATTTTGTCCTTCAGGTGAAAATGAGGTTTTGACATATATTTAAAAAGGGAGTGAATAAAATCATAACAGGTAAAAGGTCAGCTAAGTATATTTGTTGAACAGCTGGCCTTTTAATTTACTTTTAATGTGTTTTTGTGGTTCTTTTGAGGCAAATTTTTACTCTGTGGGCCAAGTTTGCTTGGAACTTCCCTTGTACCACAGGCTCTTACTTCAGCTTTCAAGTGCTTTGCTTACAAAACAAAACAAAACAAAACAAAACACAAAACCAAAAATCTTCTTGAATACTTACCTAGCAGGGGAGACCTCACGATCATGCTGGTGGTATTCCCAGGGGGAGGTTCACCCATTGCACTGCGATTTCCCCGAATTCGGGAAACCAAGCTCAAACATGTGTGGTTCAAGCTCTCTCCTAGGGGAAAATTTTATAAAAAGTATCTTAAAACAATTACACCTACTAAATACTAAAATGCAAAATAAAGCACACAGTTTCATATTAACTGATACTAGATGTAAATCTTTTGTCCTAAGCATGCCTACAGCAGAGTTTCTGAAATAATAGTAGAAAATCAGCGTCTTGACCATCTCCATCACATTTCTCTATGCTCACTCTAGACTTTTGCATATGGCAAATTCTAATGTTGTTGGTGAAGAGATTGAATTTCAATTTCTTTTTGTAAATAATTCTTTCAATTCCAAAGGACACAAAGATTAGTAATGAAGTTCTATGTGCACTGAAGTCTAGTAAAGTAATTGATTAAATTAGACTTCTCCTCCTCCTTCTCCTTTCCCTTCACCTTCTTCCCCTTCTTCTTCTCCTTTGATTGGCTTTTTGCTTCATCAAGATCTCATCATGAAGTTCAAGCTGGCCTTGAACTTAGTGATCCTTTTGCCTCATTCTCCTGAGTGCTAGAATTCTAGGTATGCCCTGTGGAGCCACCTCTCAATAAACTTTGTCTATTCTGTTTTTGTCTTAAAGACTATCAAATCCTATAGCTCAGTTCCCCGAATTCGTGGAGTAACACAGGCATAACATTCAGTGCCATTCTCCAATAAGCTTTTCATCAAGACAAACCCATGTATAATAATAGTGATGATGATGATGATGATAAATGATAATAATAATTTCTCAGCCTCTTTCTTTGAGATTAGGTCTCCTTTTGTAGCTTGAACTGGCTTCAAACTCATTACATAATCAAACATAGCCCTTTATTCCTGATCCTCCTGGCTCCATTCCTCAAGTGCTGGCATCCTAGCTGTCTGCCCTGGGTCTACCTAGCACTAAACCAGAAAGTGAAAACAAATTGCACTAATAGCATTTTGGCCTAACTATATGGCATTGCCATGGAAACATAAGAGCAAGGAACAGAGTCTTGTAGGTCTTTAATGGACTGCCATCAGACCTAAATTCCAAGTTCCAAGAAGTCTACAGTCTGAAGTTTTTAATGCTCCCTCCTCTAGGCCTGCGCTCCAGCTCCTCCCACATCCTTGTTCGTAGGTGAAGAAAACTGAACGTTCAATGCTTGATGACAAAGTAGGAAAACTGAGTTGAGCGATGTCTTTATAATGTATCTTGGGAGTCTTCCTGATGAAGAGAACTGTGGTGTCCCTATGGCCACCCTGCTGGGTCATAGCACACCACAACCCATGGCAACTCCTTGTCCTTGGGTCAGGGTAATGTCTCTGAGGCCAAAGAGCCTATGATACACACACGACAACCTGAGCTGAGTCTTTGCAACAATAAATACGGATGGAAGAACTGACTCCAAATTCTTATTCTTTTGCTGTGACACGAACAGATTCAACACTCGAGAACTTTACTAGAGCAGTCGCAATGCCCAGGGCACACACTGGGGCAGGATCTCATGCTGTCTCTAGGGCTCACTTCCTGAGCCTAAGATGGCACGAGCCTCACCAGGTGCCAATGGCTTTCCAGTTCCTCACCTCCTATAGTGTTTAAGTTCTTTACAGACATGGGGACATCAATAATGACTGGGTTAGTGACACTTCAGATGACACCTCTTTCCTCATATGGGTGCTATTTGGTAGCTGGAAGCTGTATAGCATCTTGAGGTTGTGATTCTGATCTTGGGGGCAGTAACTGCTTTCCATTTCTGTCTATAGTTGTATGTCATTGTATCCTTTCTGCTGGGCATGTGCCAGTGCATGCTACTCTCCATGCTAATCCATCTGTGCCTTTAAGATGTTGCTTGTGTCCCGGTATTTAGTGAGTCAGCACAGTCAGCTTGTGGATTCCGCATGTCAGTATCAACTATATAGTAAAGACTTTGATCACAGAGATAATCCCACTAAAGGAATATATTCCTACCTCACTTTCTCTTCAAATAAAAATGCTAGTGGCCACTTGCCTCCATGCTGCACAGAGGGAAGAGAGACAGAAACAGTAAAATGGGGAGTCCTAATGATTGTGAAAACAACTTTAAATGGAGTGAGTGCATGGCAAGTGTCATGGTGGTGGCATAGGCAGGTGAGGCTTATTTCATTCAGTTCCTGGCATCTGAGCAGAAGATATTGTACGGAACTGGCATCCAGAGTGTAAAAGGTCAGTGTTGGAGGGAGTGTAATGATGCTTCAGTGGGCAAGGCTTGCTATGCAAGCATGAAGAATGGAATTCATGTCCTTGGCACCCAGAGGGACACTTGTTCCACGTCCTCAGCAGCCTAACCCTGCCAAGATCCAGAGTGCGACCCCAGCCTGCTCCTTACCTCCTTGGAGATGACATTCCCCCTTCACATTCTTGCAAATGTAAATGCTAATCCATATAATAATACCAAAGTGGATGATGGCAATGGGTACTGCTATGGCGATAGCCTTTTTGTTATTGTGAAGCTGCCTGGTAGGTGGAGGCTGGATGGCAGAGGCAACGTCTGTGATATTTGGGGTTCTTGCTGTTGGTCCTATAAAAAGAATCAGGAAAATTCAGGATAAAGCTAAAAACACATCTCCATCAGCACCTTCTCTCCCCAGGCAGCCCGAGGAACTCATGCGTAATAACTATAAGGTCCTGTTTAGAGACAGGAGTGGAGTTGTGTGTACCACATCCTTGCTGAGTTTATTCCATTACTGAAGAAAACAGATGTCTATGGAGCCGTCTTACAACGTGACATATTTACTGTGGTGAGAACTTTCTGGATGCTGGCATGATTGCTGGTGTTTAATTGCTGCCAGAGAAAGACAGTGAAGTCTTTCAAAGTGATTGGACCTGGAGGAAGGGCAGCTCTGGGTGTGGAAGAGAAGGCTGGAAGTTCACAGTGATGCACAGACTTGGGCCATCAGCAGGCCATGTAGCGCCCGGGCCATTGGTTAATAGGGAATGGGAAAGATTGGGAGGTGAGATGGGAAAGAGAGATCCCTGTGGTCGTCACTGGATCTCAGACAGGAAGCCCTCCAAGAAAGCACGCTATCAAATCTTCTATCATGCACACATGCTGACGTCTACATAAAGAAGTCACCAGACTTTCCAAGAGTACTGCCATGCCTTTTCCATTCTGTGGATGTTTCCTCGTGATAATCTACCTTACTACTTACTTGGCGTTTCCTTCCAGTCCTTTAAGACTTCTTGGAGGCAGAGATGAGAATCTCCCATGGAGAGTGTTGCTAGATCTTGTGCTAATTCTGCATTATTCTTCCATTTTTCTTCGATACCTGTGGCATTATAGTTAGTCACTTCCCATCTCTTCTTCTCTCGATTAAAGCGATCGAAGCAGAAGGAATACTGGTTGTCAATGGTGAAGTTCCAGGAGCTGTGAGTGAGTTGTCCTGGTGTATTCTGAGATAACATGGTTGCCTGCAAGTTGTGATTATCTGCAAATGACATACAAAACTGTCATCTCTTGCCTTAATAGAGCCATCACCACCCCCCAATCCCATCAGTGGTCAAGTCTCCCTGTGCACGCTTAAGGACCTGTTTTCTTTCCTTGCTGGCTTGTTTTTTCTTACCCTTTGGGTACCAAGTCCTTCCAGCCTGGAACAGCTGGATGCAGCTCTTTCATGCAAATATAACCACAGCCCCCTTCCCACACGGGCTCTGCCCTTCCTGTTTCTCATTGATACCTTCTGTATTATACCCTGCCCCGTACTTACCCCTGCTCAGGACTGCCTCGTTTTCCATGTCAAGTAGCTGGTTCCTCAACTCTTCTCCAATGTCCTTTAGCTTTGGGTACAAATCTGCACATCCCTTAGAAGCATTGACCTCCTCTCCTGGGTTACCATACAGAAGCAAAAGCACTCCATTCACTGAGCACTGCACTTCCCAACCTTTCTCTCCATGTTCGGGATGAGACTTGACAATGAAGGCGCATTTGAGATAGTGTGCACCTGTGAGAAACGCATGGCTGTGAGGTACAAAGCAGAAGTCATGGTCGGTGACATCTAGATTCAACCTCACTGGCCAAAGGGCAAGAAGTCAAGGCTTCTAGTGAAGGCGTCTGCCGGCTTCTGGACCCTTACTGCTGTGCCGCCTTTGACTCAGGTTGGTAGGACCCCTGAGACACACACGTTGTCACCAGGAGGATTTATCTCACAAGTCCTTTTAGTGACTCTTCTCAAGTGTTGATGAATAAAATACATCAGATAGTGTCTGTGTTCCTGGGACTGAAAAAAATCTACTAAAAACACGGGGAAAGGAGACACCATAGAACACATGGCAAACTCAGCCCGGGCCTGGGTGTTCAGGAAAGGCCTCCTGGAGTGACGATGCAACTTGTCACAGAAGGTGGAGCTGCCACCTGTGCGCCCCATCCTCACCCCGTGTCCCCGTAACAACGTTGGGCATCGGATCTCAGATCCTCCCGTGTTTAACCTCAGGCCTGATTACTCTCAGGAAGAGGTCCCTCTCTGTGATCTGCTTGGAGCCGCGATCTCTCTCCCCTTCCTCAGGCAGGTGAATCCCAGCACACCTGTGGCCGCGGTCTCCTGACTTTCACTAACAGCAACAGAAGACACAACATCCCAGAGCTGTTCTGCTCAGCAGACTGTACCAACTAGCAGGCAGGACCTAGTGAGGGTGCACATATATGTTCTCCCGTGTGTGTGTGTGTGTGTGTGTGTGTGTGTGTGTGCGCGTGCGTGTGCCTGTGTGTGTGAATATAAAATAAATAATAATTTTAAAGAACAACAAGTTTGCCATGTAATAACAGTAGAAATGCAAAGGATGTGTTTGAAAAATCAAAAACAAAAACAACCCCTTTCCCTCTGCTCCCTTCCCCTCGTCTTCTGCTCTGAGCGGCACTGCTGGAGTTTGGCAGCCTCCTTTGCTGTCTCCTTCCATCAGCTTCCTCTTCCTCCTCCTCCCTGCCTCTTCTGCCACCGGTGACTTCCTGTCCCGTGGTTTCCCCCAATCTACTTTCCCCTTCCCGACTCTCCTGAGGCCCGAATTTGTTCTTGAGTGGCTGGGATTCCTTCTCTCTCATCACTCTCTCCTGGAAGATTGGTGAACACGAATAGGAGCCCTCCAGGGCAGAGAACTAGCTTGAACTAAAGGACACAAACTCGGCCCTTGGCGGATCACATAGAATAAGCATCAGTTATCTGTAAGAAAAATCTACTCGGACGTTTGATGAAAGGAAACTGTTTTGCTAAATCAGTAACAGGGAATTATAAAGGTGATTTAAAGAAATCATCCTGATATAACTTCCAAATATGCACCAATTAATAATAGTAATAATAATAAATGTCTTGGAAGCATTTATACTCAGGCCTCCAGACTTCAGTAAGAAAAATATTTTTATGCACTTCTACAAGTGTGTCACAGTAGTATTGATTACACAAGGTCTCTAAGAGGCTTGGCATTCACCAAGTAGACTAGACAGGCTTGCCCCTGACCCCAGGGCTCCTCTGCCTCTGTCTTCTTAGTAATGACAATAAAAGCACAGAGCACCATGCCTGGCTCCATCACAGGAATTCCAGGGATCAACCCTTTAACACTTAGCTATGTCCTCATGCTTTGAACACAGGACTTTTAGTAGCCAGCAAACAGCCAGGATTTTCTGGAGACGGTACCCTTGTGCTCCAGGAGTGGCTTGTAGGAACCTGGTAACAGTCAGGTCCATGTACTCTGTGTGATGCCGGGCTCCCTGCTGAGAAGCACAGAGAGCATGAGCAGGGAGGAGACACCAGCTTCCTGGAGCTCAGGGATGGTGATGGCTCAGGGCTGGGGTGGGGTTAGCAGACTGTATTCCTGAATCCCAGCAAATCTGGTACAGAAAAATCCCACAGCGTGGAGTGGTCAGGATGCAGGGACACCAAGGACAGTGGTCCATTGGTGAGTACGGGGACCGTCTTGAATCCTAACTGCTCAAGCAGGTCATAGCCAACAGATGTGGCTGGATTTTGGTAATTAAAATGTAGTAAAACATGATCAGGAAGCTGAAAGCTGTTGTTCTCTGACACCCCAGGCTATAGTGTCATTTTGTGTATGATCTAACAAAGCTTGCCTGAAGATTAGAGTACAAAGCTAGCCACACTAGTTAGCCATACGTTCTAGGCAGTGATGGCACAACCTTTGAACCCAGCAGGCATACTGTTAGCCACAGAAGCCGGACAGTGGTAGATGGAGCACGCCTTTAATCCCAGGCCTTGGGAGGCAGAGGCAGGCAGGGTCTCTGAGTTTGAGACCATCATGGTCTCCTCAGCAAGTTCAAGGACAGCCAAGGCTACACATAAGAACCCTGTCTTGAAACACACACACACACACACACACACACACACACACACACACACACAATATGTCATGTGCCCGTTGTTTAAACTGAACCATTGGGGCTAGAGTAAGGGGTGCAGTATTTTAGGGCATTTGTTGCTCTTGAAGAGGATCCAGGTTTGATTCTCAGCAACCACTGTTCTGGAATGCTCTTTGTGTATGCGGTGAATGTGTGTTCCTTTCACTGGTTGTTAACGGAAGTTGATTTGGCCTATTTCCAGGGGTAATAAGGCTGTGAGGGGAAGCCAAATGGAGATCTAGGGAGAAGGAAGGCAGAGCCTGGCAGTTGCCAGCAGCCTCCCAAGGAGCAAGACGTCCACACATCAGTAAGACAAGGCCATGTGGCAATATACACACTGACAAAAATTGGTTCATTTGAATGTGAGAGCTAGCTAGTAACCATCTTGAGCCATCCCAACATTTATAATTAATATAAGCCTCTGTGTGGATATTCAGGACCTGGTACACAAGAGAGAAACCTGTATTTACGAACCTCTCATGGTGGCTCACCACTGCCTATAACTCCATGCCCGGGAGATCAATGCCCTCTTTCGACCTCTTAACGCACCGGGCACATATTGGTGCACATACATACATTCAGTCAAAACATCAATTAATCTTAAAAAAACAATTAAAACTGGACCACCTCAAAGACACACCCAGATTGCCTTCATAGGACAGATCAGGTCCTCTCAAGAGTGACCATTCTTTCTGTATTTCTGAGGATGAAAGTTTCTGTCCCCCCCCCCCCAATATTTGGCAAGAATTCCCACAAAAGCTTAAAAAGGGTTCTGAACACACAGAAACAAAGCCTTACTGGGCTTCCTAGTCTCAGATCCTCATGCAGGCCATGGTGGCCCTTTGGTCTGAGCATTGGGAGAGAGAAAATGCTAGTGGCCAGCTGCTGGGCTTCTCTATCCCTAATCCTACACCACCTGATAGCTGACTAGGAGTTTTCATTAAGAACAATTCGGATTTCTGCTACAAATCACCTTGCTCGTGTAGGAGTCAGGCCCACCAGTCTACAGCAGAGAGAGAGAGAGAGAGAGAGAGAGAGAGAGAGAGAGAGAGAGAGAGAGAAAACAAAACAAAAAACAAACAAACAAACAAAAAAACACTGTACATCAGTGTGGCTCCTGGCTTGTTACTGCGCCCTGAGAGACAGTGACTTGTGTCCCTGGGCTAATAGAATCCCCAGCAAACCGCAGGCAGGCATCATGAGGTGAAAAGAGAAGGCCAGGAGCTTCCTGACTCAGTAGTGCAGGGTCCCCATCCCTCCACTCCCGCACACTCCCTATCCCGCCTCCCCCAGTTAAATCCCGGTGTCTCACCGGCCAGCACGGTGGCTTCCAGATAGCCCAGTAGAACGAAAAGGCTAAGAGTCTGGAAAAGACTGCATCTTGTGGCTGAAGCTTTTGCCATGGCTGCTTCCCGAGACCAGGCTACAGACAGACTTGACTGGAGCTGTGGAGAGAATCGGTGAGTCCTCAGTACAGCCTTGTAGAGGACCCCAAGCAGAGATTTGCAAAGCCCCAGGCTCATGGTTTGTGAATTCAGGCCTTTCCCAGCTCTAGCCATGCCGGTTCCTAGTTAGCATCTTTTCCTACCTCCCTTCGGAAATCGCTCAAGGCAGTGCGACTCAGGTCCTCTCTCCCTGAAAACTTCCATGTCCCTTACATTCGGTGGCAGGGAGTGTGCCACTATGAAATGAGCAGTGTGAGGAATGCAGTTCTGGACTCCAGATAGCTTCCAGTTCACGGTTTTGACTACCTGGCGCACAGATTCCTTCAGCTTCTCATTCCCTCGCCCTGCTGGTATTGGTCCACGAGTGTTGCTCCTGCCCTGCCACCGGCACCAGTGCAGCCTGGTAAACAGCCTTAAAGCCTGTACTCAGGCACTATGGTTTTGCTGGATCAGCCATGCTCCCGTCGGGCAACCTCCGCCCTGAGCCATGGGGCCCTCGCCCCGCTGCCACCCCGCCCTTGCCCCTCTGCTGACCCGCAGCGGCCCGGATCATGACCAGACCCCGACTCGCTGCCCACAGGCCACCGATCGCCACCAACCTCGAAGACTTCGATGTCTCGCCAGGGCCATTATGAAATGAGCACTTCTAGTCTCGGGGCAGTTTCCAGTTCTCGAGCTGACTGCCTGGCCCGCTGATTGGCTGCTGCTCGGGTTTGGCCCTGAAAGAAAGTAGAAATCACGCCTATTCCTCTGGTTCCTCCTTCTGCACTTAGTGCCTTCCCACCTAGTGCTGGTCGGCAGCGCGGCTTCAGTCTGACTCACTAGGGTGGGTCCCGCGTCTAACTTGCTCTCCTCCTGTGGTACTCTCACCTTGCAGGCCCTGCTCAGCCCGCTGCTGCCTGGCTCCATCTCGCTGTCCCTCTAGCTCTCTTGCAAAGACGGCCTGACTCTGGGGCTGAGGCTAAGATACTGTTGTTCTGGGGCTCCCACACCCCGTGGTCCCTTCATCTCAATCACCGACTCTGTGTCCTAAGGGGACATGAGCAAAAGAATCAGCCTTTCAGCAGGTGTCAGAGCAGATCACAGTCGGACCCAGCATACCATATACAGGGCCACTCACTACAGACTACTCCTGCTTCCCTTACCTAGGAATCCCATGACTTCTATGCTGCGCCCCTTCAGATGCTGATCAATCAAAAGGAATGTCGGTTGTAATTTAAGAAAAGTAGCGTGCACGCAAGAGAAAGATGTATTGAGAAAAGACTCAAGCAGAGGTTTTTTATTGGGGGGGGGACACCATAAAAAAGAGGAAAAGGGAGAGCATCAGGAGAGAGGAGAGATGTGGGCCAGAGAAAGAGCTAGAGGGACTGGAAGTGGGCGGGGCCGTTTAAAGGGGAACTTGGTGAATGTGCACAGGTGGTGCTCTTAGTGGCTGCATCTGAGGATGTGTCCTGTCAGAGCCCCAAGAACAGGCCAGTACAGATGAATACTAGCATTCTGGTTTTTTTTTTTTATTTATTATAAAAAGATGAGGCATTAGAAAGGGCTAGCAGGTGAAGTGGCTAGAGACCGTGTTCCTGCTGACGGGGGTGGGGAGCGTCATTCATCTTTAGGACACCTGGGAAAGCTGGGGGGGGGGGCTAGCCACGTCCTGGAGTTGCTGCTGTTTTGCTTCACTGTCCAGTCTCTGTGGAACCTTCAAGATGCCTCCGGGACCTGGCAAAATGCCATTCTTGGTGAATCCAAACCGACTCCCCAGGGCTTAAAGCGCCTGATTCTTTCCCATCACCTCAGCATCACCTGGAATTGCTTCCTCTCTCCTGACCCACCTGTCCCTCACCCCACTCCCAACACTGCCCTCACTCAGTACCTGTCATTGTCAAGGGTTCCCCTCAGATAAGAAACAGGAGGGAGCAGGTGAGGATTATCAGCAGGGCTAAGATGTTGGGCTGCTGGCTCACATCTGGAGCAGCTGTTGGTGAGGCTGAAGTGGAAACATAAACTGAGTCTTTATCCAGACCTCACATCTGAGGAAATCTCTCCCCTTAGCTTCTGTGTGCTCAGGGAGTTCAGCACCACACAGAGTCCCTCCCCTGTTGCTAGGCAACAACTGTTTGGGTTGGTCCTGGGTAGGAAGGGAGAGGGGGTGTCCCTGCCCTCAGAAGCCCTATGCAGCTATGTTAGGGGAAGCAGGGTGATGGTGGGCCCTCATCTTCACTGTGGTGGGGGGGGGGCGCGGGGGGAGGGGGAGGCATGAGGGTGGATGCCCTGTGAGGATGGGGGCAGGGAAGGAGGAAGGTCAGGTGGGATGACAAGCAACAGGGATTCTAGAGTGAGGAAAAGGACAGGAAGTAAAGGGATGCTTAGACTGTGACAGTCAGTGAGAACCACAGTGAGTGATCAATGTAATCACGATTAATGATGTAGGGGAGGGTGAGAAAGGAAATGAATGATGGGAAAAAAATTACCACTAACCCAAGAACTTAAGGTCAATAGATTATTACACACACACACACACACACACACACACACACACACACACACACACACACCTCATCTGCAGAGAGCTTCCTCTCATCCTCCCAGTTACCTGTAGGCTCCAGCTTTTTCTCCAAGTGCAACTCTATTTCCTCAAGCCAGGACCTACAGTCTCCCTGTGAGGTCATCTTGAAGAAGTCAGTGACATCCCTGTCTTCCTCCCACATCTCTTTAATCCCGTTGGATCCAGGACCAACTTCAGACAGTTTTCCAGTGCTTGGGTCAAAGTGCAACATTTGGTGTCCATTGAGGCCAATATCCCAGGATGCATTGAAATGTCCATCTCCTTCATGCCAGCAACACATGAGGGCCTCTGTGCCCATTGGAAAGAGATCAGTCTCTGGCCTTGATGAAACCACTCTGCCTATGCCCAACCCTTGCCACCATTTAAGCTTGCTGTAGGATTAAAGTTTTCCTGTGTTTTTAAAACAAGATGCTTGCTTTCTCTTATGTTAAACTATTTTCCAGTTTTCTTATTGAGTTTTTATTTAACACATAGCTATGTAGAAGCATGCTGTTCAACATTGAAACGTTTGAGGATTCCCTATTTATCTTCCTGTTATTGATTTCTTATTTCCTTCTATTATAGCCAGTTAGGATGGTTTTTTATGATGCCTACCGTTTATCATTTTTCTTCTTTGTTTATTTGATGGTTCAAAAATTACTGTCCTTGCTTGGCATGGCAGCACATGCCTTTAAATCTATCATTTGTGAGGCAAAGACAGATAGATCTCTGGGAGTTCAAGGTAACAACATGTTACACCTAGATTCTCTGGTGAGTGAATGCAATCCCAAAGAAAATTCCAGTCAATATCACAATTTGGTGTCATGGTTGGTCTTACAGTAAATGGCACAAATTCCCAGGACATCATCAGAAGTACATTTTCCTGCTTTGAGGAAGCCATAGTCACTTTCCAAGAGAGTTCACAGAGGCAGCTGCTAAGGATCATGAGAGATCAAAGAAGAAGCCAAGGGGAAGAATGAGGAAGCACCTAGGGATGGAAGTGTGACGTTAATTCAAGTGACTGCATACCCAGCTACAGCATCCGACTCTACTCCATAGGTCACATTCTCTATGGCCTTTCTTATTTCTATTTTGAAATGCTTCTTTTCTTTCCATGCTAATTTCAGTCAGGCCTTCCTGCCAATTTGAGTTGGTATAACTTCCAATGGGAATGAAACTGTGAAGGGTACAGAGGAAGAGCTCATGAATAAATATCATCTAACCTAGGTCATCAGGTTGCATGGCCAGTGCCTTTGCCTCCTGAGCCATCATTCTAGCCTTACACTTGGAGCTTTGCTTTATTTGTATGAGTGTTTTGTCTGCATGCATGTTTGTGTGTCACATGTGTGCTCTATGCCCTTGGCACTTGGATGAGGCATGGGGTCCCTGGCAACTGGAGTTACAGATGGTTGTGAGCTACTATGTGGGTCCTAAGTCTTCTGCAAGAACAGAAAGTTCTCAACCATTGAGCCATTGTTTCAGCACAACCTGGGAGTGCCTCTTCCTCCTGCCTCAGGGATGCCTCGGCCTCTGTCCCGCCAAGGCTAAATTACCCAGCAGAACTGCAATAGCTTTACTTCCCTTGGAGAAAGTCGTGCAGCAGTTGACTCTGCAGAAGGAAAGTCCTTACAACAAACCTCACTCAAGAGATTTATTGGGAGGAGGAAATCCAGGAGAGTGGGTGCTTCTGCTAGGATGAAAAGCAGCCACAAAGTGAACAGGATGCAGGGCTTATATAGGTTTTCATGGGGATGGATGCTCCCAGGGTGCAGATTCCAGGGTGGGGATTGGTACTATCTCAAGTCCTGAGGTTGGGACAAGCTTGGGGATTATTGAGATTTCGAGTCCTGATTATGGTGGGATTCCGTGGTCAGACTCTTGGCAAAGCTCAGTGATTGGTTGGATGTTGTGCTCCAGGATTAGTTGCATTCTGTGCTCAGGGATTGGTTGGATTGTTAGTTTAGGGATCGGTGAGATTTGCGTGGTCTAATCTTGGAGCAAGCTTAGGGACTGGTGGGATTTCAAGTCCTGAACACTCTTAGGGCAGGGTGTGGTTCCTTGGCTCTGGTCTCAGGGCCAGATCATCCTTCACTATCCCTTTTTACACTATAGACAACATCTGTGTTCCTGGAATGAAAATCTAGTGCACACAAGAAAAGGAGACACCATAGAACACATGGCAAACTCAGCCCGGGGCCTGGGTGTTCAGGAAAGGCCTCCTGGAGTGACAATGCAACTTGTCAAGGAAAGCGGAGCTGCCACCTGTGCGCCCCATCCTCACCCCGTGTCCCTGTAACAACGTTGGGCATCGGATCTCAGATCCTCCCGTGTTTAACCTCAGGCCTGATTACTCTCAGGAAGAGGTCCCTCTCTGTGATCTGCTTGGAGCCGCGATCTCTCTCCCCTTCCTCAGGCA